CTAATGGACAGTTTAACATCACACATATCTTTGTATAGGTTGTCTACAGAATAAAATCGTTAATTATATGTGTCTATATATGTTAAATAGTTAAACATACAAGTTCTCCCTATAAATATGACATGGAAATATTTTATAGACAACAGACGTCTAAAATATTGTTTATGTTCTTAAGCTAATTTTAATGCTCTTTTATGCTCGCTATTTTCCTCAGATTTTGATGTCATGCATATTGTGACTTTTTGGTCAATTCTGAATAAATATTTTTGCCTTTGCACACCCTTTGGAATTTCCAGTAATTAAGGTGTCAAGAGCCCGGCAGAAATTTAAAGCCTGCAAGGCAGTAAATTACGCAAGCTAGGAAATTTTGGGAAGGTATCGGTGGTCTTGCATATAACAACATTTTTACAATCTATTTTCTTAATTAATATAATCAGGCCCATATATATATATATATATATATAGAGAGAGAGAGAGAGAGAGAGAGAGAGAGAGAGAGAGAGAGAGAGAGAGAGAGAGAGAGAGAGAGAGAGTAGTTACGGTCTTACGGAAGTAGTAGCTAAATTACACGAATATATAATTAATATTTGGCATATATATGTTACCATCGTCTGGAGAGGTGGCGCTGTCGTTACGTGGGATGCCAAAGTATATCTCGATGGCATTGAGCATGGGTGGTAGCACGGAGGTGTTGGTGGCGACTATTGAGATGTTACACAAACTGGCAACAATCGGGCTGTATGTTGGCTGCATGGAAGACAAACTTAGCGGGCTGTATTCCCACTTGTTCTTGCCGTAATATATGTCTAATTGACGTAGCTGCTGCTCAAAGTTGGCGAAGTGCAGGAAGTGAAAGTAGGTCCAATCGGTCGGCCAGTTTGGTGATTGAGTGATGTTGAGAGGGACAGAAGTGGCGGACGTGGTGACCGCGGTCCGGAGGACGTCTTCCGGAACATAGATGTAGTCATTTGAGTAGTAATTCATACCGCGGGTATCATTTGTAGAGATGTTATGCGACGGCGTGATATCGATGTAAACTTGTGACCACCAGAAACGGTCATGTGTATCGTTTGGGTACCTGAAAAGAGGTAATACATATCATTTGTAGAGACCTTAACCCATATGTTGATCTTTATTTTCCAAAAAGAACTATTGATTGTTTCAAACTTTTTTTTCGAATAATGTAGATATTACTAATATATATATGAAACAATAAATTTTAATCTAGAAAAGTATGAAAATTCATTTAAAATTATTACAGTAAATGTTTCCTTAACTTTATTATACTAGAGTTGCAGATTTCATTTATATCGTTCATATTTTGTCGATCTATTTATTGCGCAAGTTTAGTTGGCTGACGATGGTTAAACAAATCACTTAACTCATAAATAACCTATACTAGAAAAAACTATTCTTCCAAACATAAGCATTTTTTTAGGCGGGTAGATCTTTCGAAGCTAAATGGCCACCTACGAAAATAACAACCGTGAGATGAGATAGTTGTTCACCTGTGAAAATAGATTTTCGCATACGGATCTCTTAAGAGGTCCGCATGCAAAAATAAAGGTACTTTTGCAGGCGGACCTATTAAGTGACCCGTCTACAAAAAGATAAAAGCATCTTAAAAACTGCCACGCAGCCAAAATTTGATAAAAGCATCTTAAAAACTACCACGCAGCCAAAATTTTCTAAGTCCCTCTACCTCTCTCCCCTCCCACCTCTCCCTCCCCCCTCCCGCCTCGGCTGGAGGCGGCTACCAGGCGGTGGCGGCTGCGTTGCACCCCGACGCATTGGTCGGAGGAAGGGGGAAGGCAGTGGCGGCTCCCCTCACTCCTTCCCTCCCAGATTTGGCTAGAGGGGGGGGGGGAGGGGGAGGCCGCCGGCCGGTGGCGCGGGGCGGACGGTGACGGGGCACGGCCGTGCGGCGGCGGCGGCGGCATGCAGCGGCGGAGGAAGGAGGTCGGCAGCGGTGCTCCCACCCCCCAGATCCGGCCGACGGCGGCCCTTTCACTCCCCTCCCCTTCCCTCCCAGATCCGGTTGCATCGTCGGGAGGGCGGTGACGGCGACTGCATGCAACGGCGGAGACCGGAGGTCGGCGGCGGCGCTCCACTCCCCTCCCGGGTCTGGCTACGTTGTGGGGAGGCCGGCACCGACAGCGGCGGCCGCATGTAGTGGCTGAGGCGGTAGGTAGGCGGCAGCAGCGGCGGCGGAGGCAGCGCAGAGGCAGGAGGTCGGCGGCGGTGCAGCTCCCCTCCCCTCCCTCTCCCTCCCAAAACCCTAGTGGCGGCACAGCTCGTGGTGGCGGTGGTCGGAGGGGAGGGCGGCGGCGGGTAAGATTGGGGGCGGCGATTTTTTTTACGCTAAAAATATTTTCGTAGGCGGGTGGATTTAGATGCCTGCAAAAATTATTGATTTTCACAGGCCTTTGAATGTAGGCGGAGGTTATGGCCGCCCACAAAAATATGTTCTGGCCTCCTATAAAAATGTTTTTTTTAAGTAGTGAACAAGAGTGGGATATTTGTAAGTACCCTTCCAGAAACTTGTGGGTTCTTTTTTTAGTTTGATTTTTTTTCGGAACATTTACATATCACTGAGCTGCACGGTTCTAAAATAGCATGCATGCATATCACAGCGGTGACAATGCAATCATGGAAATACTGCGGTCTGGAAAGATTCCATTTTGTTAAAACTATTTTATCGGAGCTTACTTTACTCTTTAAACTGTTTTTCTTCCTTCACCTCATTCTTGAATTTCTAATAATATCTTATAAGAATAATTGTATCTATACCATTTTAAATTGAATTTGTACTAACAAATACCATAAAAACTTTGTTTTTCCACTCTATCAAACTTCGATTAGCCATGTCATTTGGGTGATGCAACCTCTGCTGCATATATAGTCCAAAGGGATGGTGTACCGGAGGAAGTTAAAAATGAGACACAAAATTTGAGATAGATGAGCATTCTTTCATTCATCCTCTTCCCTTCCTTTTATAGTGCACAAGGAACCTCCTCCCCTCTATATAGGTATAGCCACGGAGGGACAAACCTCCTCCCCTTCATAATGATAGGGATTGAGTCCGGAAATGCTGGCTACCAAGCGACCCGTGGGGGTGGAGCAGATTGGGCGCTCCCCCCGCGCGCCCCACCCCCCACGCGCGTGATGCAGGCGCCTAGCCCCACCACGTTCTTTGCCCCCACCTGTCATGTGTCTCCACCACATACTCCATTGTAACAAATCATCCACATATTTTGGAAACCCTCTATTAAGGGAATTTGTTTTATTTTTTGTTCCAGCAAAAATGTTTCACCTAGTGTAGTCACAATGTTTCACTATCTATATATCTAATGTTACAGTGAACTGAAACATTCTTTCGCTATTTGCTGAAACATTGTTTTTACATAAGGTGAAACAACACCCGATTTAAACGATTGAAATATTTTTGATCTAGTTAGTGAAACAATTCCGATATACTGGTGGAACATCGTGCAACATTTAAAAAAATCAATAATAAGCTAAAAAATATTTTCGTTGGAATATATCCATGTGTAGTCTTGTTTTGAAGATTTAATTGCAACGAATTTAATGGTGCAATTGATTCATGATTTGGATAAATAATTTAAGAGAAAAATTAGTTTAAAATAGTTTTGCACATATGCGTGGCGTTGACATAATGCTGATGTCAACGCCCGATTTTTGCAGATTTGGATCGGGCGACCGATCCCTAGTCCCTTCCGATTGAGTCGGTATTTAAACCACACAATTGTTGGATATGGCAACTATCTCTCAAAGCCATACACATTAATAGGAGGCTTTGTATAGTGCAAAGTAACATGCATTAATCCCTCCCTCCTGTCATATTCTTTGAAATTTCTCATCTAAGGGTTCAATATCTCTTAAATTACTGGAAATAATTACTATCATTTAATCAAGGAATTAGTCTATATGCATCCCCATTCAAAGTTTCCAACTTTCTGAGATATACTTTTGCAATCCACTATCATACCGGGATATGTATGTAAAGTTGTAAACTAGGGAAAGTTAGTGGCACTAGTTGCATTGTTGAGTATGCCAAATGGTCTGAATGAGTATTCTACTTCTCACATAGGACTACTCGTCCCTTCACACGATATGGATATTACTTGCAACTATGGCATTAGTAATTCTTCCAACATCGTTTTATTTTCACTACCAAAACACCAATTAAAAATAAATGTAAAATATAACACAGGGTATATATGTCAACATTATAAAAGTCACCATAAGAACTGGGTTGGATTCTTGTTAGGGGATATTTTGCCTGGTCTGGACAGTTAAGGGTCGTGTTTCAGAGCTAAAGGCTAATTTCTAGGCTCAGGCTCAAGTTGAATGGGGGTACAATTGACTTCACTCGTTCTCTTCAAATAAAGAACCACTTGTGGAACTCCGATGTGGCAGTTGTTTTAGGTCTTATTGACGGGATTGACTAGCACTTCACACATATAAACATATCATGTTCATCATGAGACACTGAAATATCGGTCAAGATATCTCCACACATTGAAAACTAAATCTTTTGGCTTGAGTAAATAAATCCATGCAATATCCTGCCCGTCCATATATCTATCCATCCACTTCTAATTTAAAAAACTATTTTCAAGGACAATACCCACATTTTACTTCACATTTTATTAATAGGCCGTCTATATAAACCCCCCCCCCCCCTTCCCCCTTTTACAGTATGTTAGGAGGGCTCGTGGTCACAGACAGTCTTTGCCTCTAGAAATCGATTTTTAATGGAGGATTAGACAACCACCTATAAAATTATAGCTTCATTTCTAGAGGCCCTTATTTTCAAAGGTAGTTGTTTTAACTAATTAATTGTCAAAATAATCCATTTTTACATACAATTGTCTTAATATGATCGTATGCCGAAATGATTTTCACATGTCATGTTAGGTCAATAGCTAGCATCTGAAAATGCATTTCTTGAGACGATTGCTGTTTACCTCTATGTGAAAACGCACCAATTCTACAGACCTTCGTTAAAGGGCTATTGGCTCAACCGCATATACAAATGTATTTTGGCTATTTGTATAAATGTTTTTATTAGTAATGATTCATCTCCATACAACCATCTAAGTGTGTGTGTGTGCGCGCGCGCGCGCGTGCGTGCGTGCGTGTGTGTACACACTAATTGCACAATATAAGAAAGCTCCCATGTTAACCAGAAATAAACATCAAGTTCTTAATTACATGGATTGTATTGCTGTGACTTATGACTGTACTTAGGAGAATATTTGTGCTCAACAAAACATGCCATTAAAAATATCATGGACTCTTTTAGCATTTAATTTACAACCATTCCTATGTTAATTCGAAAAACAATGAATAAATGTGAGGTGCAAAGTTAGAATTTTTTAGATTAAAACAAGCGTCCATGTTAGCTACAAATTCAACTTACTAATCCCAAACTTTAGAATAATTAAATTAATAAAAATATACTACAATTGAGGCTTCAATCCATGTATACAACTTGCTACTTAATTATTAGTTCCGAATTATAGAATCATTAAATCAGGAAAAATACTATTTGGTTGAGAGTCCAATTCATTTTGCTCGTTATTACTTATTAATTCCAAATTTCTTAATTATTAACTCATGAAAATGCTATAATGGGGTATAACTTATTACTGCTTATAAACTCTGAAATCAATATTATTAATTATGGAAAATGCATTGAGACCTAAACCGAGTACACTTCTTTTTTTACAATTTTTCGAACTGCTTGTTAGTCAAGATTTAAAAACTACTCCCTCTATCTTATAATATAAGGCGCGGTCAAAATTGGTATGATCTCCCAAACTAATTTTTAATTTATAATTTTTCATATACTATAATGTAGCAACAAAATTATAACCATGTGAAAGTAAATTTAAATGTCAATCCAATGCTACATTTCATATTATACTAAATGTTTGTCAAATGTTTTAAAGGTCAAATCTTGGAATACGTGTGCGTCTTATATTATGGGATGGAGGGAGTAAAATCTAGAGTAAACAACTCCACAAGTACTACTTTATATATATATTCATCAATTCTGAATTTCATATAATTACTGAATTAAGAAAATATAATGCAACAGAAAAGGTATAATATGTGGATACTGTTCTTTTCTTGCAAATACTGTTTTCAAAATTTATAACTATAAAAAACTAAATTATTTTGCACTGGATACTTAAAAAAAAAAGGCAAATTTTACAAAAAAAAAAGGTCGTGGGGCAGTGTGGACTGAGGAAGAGAGAAAAGGGAGAGCTAACGTGTGGGCCTACGGGTATTCCTAACATTTCACATAATATTTCTCCTATTCAACCGAAAACAAATATTTTACTGAGTGTGATCCTTAGTAAATATTTAATTTTTAAGAGTGCATTCCCTCCAAAACTTTACTGTTGCGGTGTCTTATAGCTAAAATCGTAAAGTCACAATGTCCTATAGAAAGCTACATGACACTGTAATTTTACGGTTTTAACTATAAAACACCGTAATAGTAAAGTTTTGGAGGGAAGGCGCTCTTAAAGATTCTGCAACACGTAAGTTTGTGCGAGCACAGATGATGTTAGTGCAAATTAACACGGAAATTAAATGACTGATCGACAAGTTGCTAGACCTGAGGGTATTGGCCGCCCCGCCCATGTTGATGCGTGTGACGAGCCCAAGCGATTGGTTCGCCGTGGCGTCGGTGTACATGTCGCTGCCCATCGGCCTCAGCTCCAGCGATGAGATGAACGGAGTCCCATGGCCGGTGTCCAGCAGGCACACCGACAGCGAGCTGGCCACGGTGACGGCGATCGCTTCGGCCGTATATGGTATCGCAGCGTCGGAGACGGTGACCTTGTACCAGAAGTCGAGGCCGATGTTCAAGTCGAACTTCACCGGCTTGACCGCGAGGCTCTTGCCCCCGCCGTCGTAGTCGCCGTGCATGAACCGTGCCCTGACGAGGTACTTTCGGCCTCTCGCGGCAGAGGGGATGGTGTAGCAGTTCCGGCCGCCGGACGGGAAGCTCCTCAGGCTTCGATCTGCCTTGTATTGCCATGGGTACCCTGAAGAAATGTCGTGCTTTTCTCCGGTTGCTATGTACGCGTCATCGGAGACGTACGAGATGTTGGTGACCATGTCGACGTGTGGAGGGTCACTTAGCCCACAGTCGATGCTCACGAACCCTGATTCAATTCAGAGACGATGTTAATTCAAACTGCATGCATAAAACCACGTACTTCCTCCGTCCCAAAATGTAGGATTTTTTAGGTTGGCACAGGTTAAAATAGTAGGTGAGAATTGGTTGAAAAGAAAAGGTAGATGAAGAAGAATGGTTGTGATTGGTTGAGAGGAGTAGATAGGTGGAGAAATAGTTTCATTTTAGGACAATGTACAATGCTAAAAATAACTACATTTTGGAACAGAGGTAGTATGTAAGTAACAATAATATTAATTAGGGTTCAACTGTAGCAGAAGAATCAAAGGGGCATATATACGTATCAGTTTATCACTATCTCTACTATTATAAAAGTTGAAGATTTTTGCTGGTACTTTGGTACGTCATCTGTGTATGAGTTGGTTTTTAAGTTTGTTCGATTTTGAAAATACAGATCTGTATTTGAGTTGGATTTTAAGTTCATCCATGGATGAGTTGTATAACAAATCTCTTTAAAATAAACTCACATGTTAACTTGACATTCTTTTATAGAAAATATATATCCAAGCGAATTCTCACGATGAATTTCACAATGAAAAATAATAAGATTAAGATAGCCTTCATCTGTTATAACGCACGCATATTTTTCTAGTATATATGTATGTGTGTGTGTGTGTGTATATATATATATATATATATATATATATATATATATATATATATATATATATATATATATATATTATAGTCTCTACTTCTGTACGTACGTACCTAGATTATCGGGCTCTGCATGTACGTACACATGCATCAGTAGCGTAGCATGAACAACTGCAAGCAATAACATCCTCATTCTTCTCCAGACATGCATATTCCTTCAGGGAGAGCTCGATCCAACCTATCGATCTTATCCTACCGTCGCGGTTTTGGATGCACTGTACCTAGCTCTCACACATATATATAGTAGAGCTGGCTATCAAATTTGGCTATCGGTTCAAAATACCATGTGCAACGTAGATAATTTACACCCTGTTGGTTGGATCCTTAATTATTTGTACTGTTTGTCATATGGATGTATATTATGGCTAATTAATGAAGTGTACAACTCTTCTTGTTGGCCACTTGGCCATGTACCTTTGACCACCATTTATTCTAATGGATATAAGGTAGAGTCTCTACCTTTTTGCGTATAAAAAAAGGGTACAACTTGATTTCGACTCAATTAACAACAGATTTGACCCTTTGATTCCACGCGATCGAATGGCCAAGGATGTTGTCCGGCAGATCAGGGTACCACTTTTGTTTCTTAACTAGGAAGTAGGAAGGTAGCCCGCGCATATGTGCGGGCATCTTATTTAACTATATTAGAAATTTGATTTGGAATGTTTATGATTATTCTATTGTAAACATCTTTAATTTTTTAATAATTTGTGTGGTGTTTCTCTGAATGCTAGTAGCCATCGCTAGCATATAAATTCTAAACTAAAATTACTTAAAGCCGTGTAAATTTGGTTTTATAAGAAAAATATATATGAAACTATATATCACTTCTGCATAATGCATTTCTTTTTTTAATATTTAGCATATCTTATTTTTGCGCTTTCTAACCTATGAGTAACAAATTTTCTTTTGTATACTATATATGTTTTTATGAATTTTAGGATGTGTTAATTGAAGATATTTTCTATTAAAAATATGGCTAATACGACTACGTTATCTAATTAAATGAGCTTAATATCTTGAAATATTGATTTAATTGTAAGTATATAGTATTGCACTATGGTTTAGTAGTAAAAATTTTCTAAATCAGAAAATATATTAGAAAATGAGACTTTATCGCTCTCAAGTTGTAGTTTAGGGCTGTATATACTTCGACTGAAATTATGTTAGATTTTGTTTCCAACATAATACCGAAAAAGTCAAACTTTCTATTATATTTTATTTAAAATTTTAGTTATTTTCATTGTATCAGTACTCCTAAAATATTTGAACATTGCTATTTAAAATGGGTTTCAAATTAAAAAAAAGTTAAATTTAGAAGAAAAAAAGTTCAGTCTTCAATTATTTTTATCTTTTTTTTCTATATTTCCATTCCATCAAGCATCCCTTAACTGTTTTGATCTCTGCAATTTGGTATGGAAATATAAGTGGGTTAAGGCCATACAACTTGACATGGGATAAAGGTATCCCTTAATTGTTTTCAATCTATAGTCTATGACAAATAGATCCTAGACGGGGTACACGTTATGACATGAAAAAATGATATAATTGAAAGTTTTTTTCTCTAATCTATTGGTGACATCAGATATCATATGCATAATTTAGATGTTATGATCATATTAGGAACGTCTATTTATCTCTGAAAAGATCATTTATTCATAAAAACGCATCTAAGATGAAGTATAAGTAAATAGCCCCTATTTGAATGTTAAGACAAATTAACTATTTCCACTGTTGAGGAAAAATATATCAATATTATCAATATTTACAACACCAAATTATTTTTACTAAATTCATAATTGAATATGTTTTTTATAATATAATTGCTTTGTGTTCAAAATGTTACTATGTTTTTTATAAACTAATTCAAGTACTTTGACATAGACAAAACTTAAAATGACATGTAATCTATAACATAAGTAGTTGGAAGAAGATCATTAGATATTTAGCATGGTATAAATAATGGGTTGACCGTTTATTAAAAACATAAGGTGGGATATTTAAATTTTTAATTAGAAATTTTAGTATTTTATTTTATTTATTGGGCTTCAAGTTGGATAGATGTGGTCCACAATGTATTACATTATTTATTTAATTGAATATTACAATAGTTTAGAAAGATCATAAATTGAATATAAGATTTAAAAATTTACGATTATTTTAAAGCCTAATTTATGTTGTTTCTATAAGTGCTAGCTTGAGGAGAAAGAGAAGAGAAGCACATGACAGAGAAAAAGCTGGCTAGACTTGTTAGGCCGAGTCCATTTGTGGGTGTTTTTTTCCATAAAGATAATTTTGGATTTAGTTTCTATGGAGATAAAAAGAACAGAGAATGAATGGCAGGTAGAGAGGAACGGGACAAACAGGAGGGAGGGAGTTTTGAGATTTTCTTTTAAAGATAGATCTAACCATATAAGATAGTGGATCCATTGATTCAAGTGGAAACCGATGGTTAGATGTTTTGTTTTCATTTGTCACACTTATAGATTTTTTTTAATTTATTAGAGTCTCACGTGGCGATCGACTTAGAAGCGTATATGGGCGTACCAATAGGCCTAGACATTTGTAGTTAGAACGGTTGCATGATCTAATTTTTAGATAACGAAATATGAGCAATATGGATTTTGAATTTTTATTTAATTATAAATAACACAGCAATTAACAAAAACTGAGAATAAAATTGTAACTTGAGAGTTATGATCATTTAGATGTCTGAATTATTTTTTTTTGTATATTGAGTGTTAATTATAAAATAGGATAAGTTAGCTAGAAAATAGGAGAAGAGGGGAGATTCGAAGTGTGGAAAGAGTACGTACGGTGTTTTTTTACCTCATGTACATAAGGTGTTGGTGGTAGGGATACCAGATTTATTTTCTTTGAGATAGACGTACGCAAAGGTACACCGGGACATGAAGTGACGTGGGATTATTTAAGAGATAAATTGATTTGGTATTTTTTTTAATAAAGATCTAATGGTTAAAAATAATGGGTCCACCAAATTAAATGAAAACGGATGATTAAATGTTTTGTTTTTTCTTAGAATTTATAGGATTTATTAAAACGCCACGTGACGGTCTAGGAACGTTTCTAGGAGCACCACATGACACCTTAGGAGCGTGTCAGAGATATGGGCCCGGGGGTATGTGGAGTAAAGGAGAGGTGCTTTCCTTTCCAGCCACGTGGCTCTGCGAGCTGGTCCCACTCACATACCTCGTGAATCGCTAAGGCGATGGGGAGAGCCTCGGGGGTCGACGACACCCCCTCGGGGGTGACGTCACCCCCTCGGGCTCTCCCGTTGTTTCACCCCGAGGCCCCCCTCTGGGGGCCGCGTGGCAGGGGGAGAGTGTGAGAGGGGGATCCAGGCTAGACGGCCATAAGTGTGCAGCGCCCCAACCGTCCCTCGCTGCATTTAATGCGACGAGGGCAGACGTGCGGCGCGCCCGACTGACCCCTGTCAGTCAGATGCGACCGGTCTGTGACCGGTCCGTTGCCGGTCACAGCCGATTGGGCGGGCGGCCGTGCCCCCACGTCGCCTCTATCTCCGCGGAGTGGCGGTAGGTATGCCCCGTCACATCCGGACGCCGCTCGAAGCAGGGCTGCCGCAAGTCCTCACTCGTTTATGAGGGAATGACAGGGCTATCCCCCGTGTCAGGCGGGGGCTACCACTGTGTATCCTTTTTCCTCTTACAAGCAATGAATTTTTGTATACTTTTACGCAAAGACCGTTTTTTCCCTTCCTCTGGCTTGTCCTGGTCTAAGGGGTAATCTGCGTTTGCTCTGAATCCTAAGTGCTGTGAGGCGGCCTGGAAACCTCGAAAGGGAGCACGAACGCGGGCCGTGCCCCGGGTTGCGCCGAACCCCGGAGGATCGGAAGGGCCTACACATGGCCGTCCCCGACCCCCGGTCGACGCGGCCTCGGTCTGGCCAGTCCCGCTAAGCGGCTCCCTCGGAGCAGTGGTCTTGCCCATCACCGCTTAGGTGCCCTGGACCAAACGCGGATTCACCGTCTCGCTAGAACGAGCCCGAGGGGGGATGGGGTCAAAGCGGCGTCTCGATCACGGACTGATTATACCCTTTTCCCCTGGTTTTTTGTTCTCTCTATATCACAGACATTCAGTGGAAGAAGCAATGAATAGAAGAAGCAAAAGGGGAAAAGGAGCTAAGGAAGTTTCAATTGCAAAACAAGACAGGATGGCACGACGGCCTAAATACAAGAAGTGCCCGCTGCGGGCACGCAACAAAAGGGAATTGAAGGCATGGATAGTCACGGGGTGCCCGGCCCTCCGAGGCCGGCGCCGCTGACGACGTCGTCTCAGTCTTCGTCGCTATCGTCACCCCCGCTCCCGCTTTCCTCGTCCGAGGCGAGCCCGGAGATGAAGCGGGGGGCCGATCCCTCGAAGCCCGAGACAATCGCGTTGGCTGCCTCTCTAACTTGCTCCCGGGCCCTCGCTTCAGTTCCCGGGGGAAAATCTTCAAGTGTGCGCCACGGCATGAAGTCAGGGTCGCGCGCTTGATGACTTGCAAGAACCAGCTCCACCGCGGCCCGTGGCAAAGAGGCTGACAAGGACTTTATGGTCTCGCCGACCTCCTCCTCCAGTCTCTCCAGGCCCGCCGCCAGCCCGTCCAGCCGGAGCGCGAGCGCTGGCTGTGTGGGTGGAAGTCCGCTATACCGGCGCACGGAGACGCCGACTCGGCACCCCGCGCGCTCCAGCCGGGCGACGGCATCGGAGAGCTGCCTGGGCCCGAGTTCGTTGGTGAGGCGGAGGGCCGCAATCCCCCCAGCCTGATCTTGCACCAGGCGCTCCAGGTCGGCGAGGGTACTCTGAGCCTTGGCGAGCTCGCCCGCTAACCCCGCGCCGCCGGGTGGCCCGCCGGCTGCCAGGTCCTTCTCCCGGGCCTCCAGTTCGGAAGCCCTCGCCGCTATCGCCGCGCGCTCGGCGCGAGCGCTCTCCAGATGCCGGGCCTCGCGCCCGGCAACAGCTTCCTCGCATTTCGCGAGCCGCTCGCCCAGCCGGCGCAAGGCTACCTCGCGGCGGTTTACCTCGGCTTCGCGCTCGGCGAGTGCGGCGTCCCGTTCCCGGCACGCCTCTTCCTGCAGCCGTAGCTCTTCCGCGCGGCGGTCCGCGGAAGCTTCCGCGGCAAGAGTGATCCGGTCACGCTCAGCCGCGGCCTCTTCACGAAGGCGAAGGGAGGCCTCCGCTTCCGCCGCCGTTCTCTCGTGGGCGG